AAAGCAAGGTTTGAAGTGTCTTCGGTGCTGTGGAGACTAGGTAATGTTCATGGAAGATGTGGAGGCTTCAAACAGTTCCCTTGGGAGTCGGTTTTAGTCTGAAAAAGGTGAAGGTATTTATACTAAGTTATGTTAAATTGGAAGCTACAAAATTTGGTAGGAAAAAATTGACGAAACACATAATTTTTACCTTAATTAAAACTGTGTTTTATTACGTTAGCTGCTAGGGCATTGTACTGTTTAGGTAGGCTGTGTAGGTAAACCAGTGGAGTAATTCTGTTGGTAGTAATGAAGTTCCTGGTGCTTGGTTTGATTAATTGTGGAACATTTAGGAAAAGCAGAAAAGGAACCCCAAAACACTGTTGGTACACCTTGTAGTTTTACTTTCTGATTGAATAGTAGTTTTCCTTTTTCCCCCTCAGTTTCAATGAAAGGATAAGGACTGATTTTCATTCATCTTGAGTGTATCTATCATAAGTAAAGGATTTCCAGTGACTCATGTTTATGATTCAGAAGTTTAAATGTTTGCAGGATTACTGCACTTTCAGAATCGACTAGAAATGCCAGCTGTACCCTCCACTGAGAAAATGAACTAAGTTCTCTGTCTTTACACTTGTGCTCTTTTGAAAGCTTTTGATGTAAATAACACCAGTTGAGAAGTGAGAAACCTTTTATCTTAAAAAATGCAGTTTGAATGATGGAAGGTTTCCTTTGTATGTATTTTAAAACATTTTTACAGTTGATTGTTCAAATATTGGCTTTCTGTAAAAACATGTTAAATTTAGAGCCTTTGTAGTGCAATATCAATAAATTTTGCCTACTTGGGCAGTTTTAATTACTACCTTAACCTGGCTTTTGCTACTGATACTTGTAGGTTGCAAGTTGCTAATATTTTGGCTGCATCTCTTTGGACCAATAAAAAATGACAAATGTGAGATAAAGGTATGTTTATATGATAGGAAGAAATATTAAGAGGTAGAATGTCTCTGCAAAAAATGAAAGTAACTGGTATGTATTCTCCATCTCAATTTGCAGTTTGGTTGTTGACTTTCAAAGCAAGGTTGTATTGTGAGTTAAATACATAAATCCAGCATTTCTTAAATTTGTATTAGAGTCCGGTTTTCTGAATGTAATGCTTTCCAGTCCTTAGATCTCAGGGGTCAAAGAAACACCATTCTTCTTTGCTAAAGACCTCAGATATATGATAGCAGTTTTAAAAAAAATTTTTAAGAAAGGACTTCCCTGTTGTGCCGGGGGTGCAGATTCTATCCCCAGTGAGGGACGTTCTGCATGCTGCAGCCAAAAAAAATAAAAAGGGAAGGTGTGTCATACTCTTACTGTCAAAGGTACTTTGATGATGAGAACTGACATCTGACAGACACCATGCAGAGCTGCTCACCATCCTTCTTTATAGTCATGGATGACCTTCCAGCTCACAGTTACATTTCTTCTTTCAGTCATTTTTTTAAAAAGGAAAAAAGATCTAGATCCTTCAATAGATAACTAACTCCCCATTCAATCCAAATTTGGAAAGGTAGCCCATGGAGATCGGTGACAGATGGGGATGATTTCTTTGGCTCGTGGCCATCTTGACCAATAGTCTGTCTAGTTTCCCGCTTTGATAAGGGCTCGCGATGTAACTACCGAACCTGTGATGTTTGACATTAAATGTTGGTATTGCAGAAAGAGAGTCATATCCTTCAATGAATACAGGTAAAAGCACATTATGGAATTAGAAATATTTATTCAGAATATAAGAATGTTTGTAAAATATTATGTCTCTGTATAAATAAATGGAGTTTTTATTTAAAAAACAATTCTATATCAAATAACACAAAGCTATTTTACAGCAGCTAAACCTAAAGGCATCTGGAAACATTTAAAGCATACAAGTGAAGAATCTAAAAAATTACAAGGTATGGTACAGTGTTAAGTGTCAACCTTAAAGTGAGATTTTAATACAGTAGAACAATACTGACAAATGCAGACTTAGTCACATGTGCTTCCATAACTGACAGTACATTCAAGCGGCTTAAAAGCACATTTTCAATTAATAGGAAACTAAAATCACATGCAAAGTCAGTCAGTCTTGACAATGTCTAAAAATTGATTAGAAGTAGAAAAGTGAACATGTCTCATCCTCTTTGCCTTGGGTTCAAACAGAAGCAGATGGATAATAATGGGGCTCCCATTTACCTGGCCGTCCATGGGCACTGTGAGTGAGGACCACAAAGAGAACATGTTCTCCGTGGACTAGATTTGCCGAACGGTGTGGAAGTGAGCAGTAGAGCCAGAATGAATCAGCAGGTCATGAACATGAGGGATTTTGTCTCTAGCTTGCTCTGTACTGCTGAGCTGATGTTTCAGATAATTAGCGGATGAGTGATTTTTGTACCAACCTTGACTGGAAAAAAATCAGTGCTACTGGGCCAAGGGTGTGATTATTCCAGTAGCAGTTGCTGTTACTGGGATGGAGGGATTTCTTGGTCATATGCAAAATCTCACTCAAATGCAGTGTGAGAGTTTATGCAGTGTAACCCTTCACCAAAAATAGTTGTATGCAAATGTATCTTTCTCTACATGAGAATTAGGAAAACAAGAATGTGTGAACAGCTACTATTCAACTTGTATCCTTTTCCACTTCCTTAATATTTTAACAGCCACTGAGTGCTCCTTGATGCTGTGGTAGCTACAGCCAGCATTACATTAATTGATAATTTTGGTGCCAGTTGTGGAAAATTACCGTATGGCAGCCTAAGGCATTCATTCACTAGTGAATACAAACTCAGAAAGTTAACTTCAGGTATGAGAAACAGGAACTTAGAAGGTGACAGTAAGCGCTAACTACAGTCTGGCCTGTATGAACATGGGATCTGAATTAACTAGGATGGGATTTGGGTGACTTAAGACACAGTTTGTGTTTTGTAGCAAGTGATGCCTCTACAGAGTGGTGCCCAGCAAGCCTCAGTGAAAGGTTATAATAGTGTCTTTGCTGTCAAGTAGGCCATTCCATTGGAGAAATAGAAAAATAATTGTTAGCGTGATTTTTTTCTGAATTTTTTATAGTGTTACCAAGCGGCTCCTTGGTGCAGAAAAAATAATGTTTCTCATGCTTCTTTCCCTCCCACAAAATCTTTGGCAGCCCACAAAATCTTTGGCAGCCCTATGGGATGCATCCTAATTAAATTCAGTTCAGAAATTGCAGTCATCAGAATTCTTTCCCCTTTTGACCTCTAAAAACTGTCTAATTAAAAGCTGTTTGCTGTACTTAGAAATAGGTGTGACTGTAAACTTAGGAAACATGATCTTTTTACTTCATACTTTCATGGATGAGACACATTTCCAGCTATACATTTGCAAATAATTTATGGAAAAAGCTTATGACTTTAAATTAGAAGTCATTAATAACACAAGTGGGTAACTTCTATAGTCTTCACTTCACTCAAAACACAAGCACCCCCAACTCATGAGAGCTTTAAGATATTTAATAGAATTTAAAAATAATTGCAGGATAATTTCTATGGGCCATAGGAAACAATTCATGCCATGGGTAACTATGAGGCATTTTTTTTTTCGCTTAAAATAATAATCTTTATGCAGGTGGGAACTAAGCCACTTACCGGTGGTTTCAAGATTTTCTTAGAACAGTAGGCTCTTTGCTGTCCTCATCCTAAAAAGAAAGTCTCCTCGGCTCTTAACGTGCACTGGCTCCCAGAATAGGAGAGCGTCCAGTTCTCCGGGGTCCCTGTAAAGCTTGGCTGCAGAGACTCGGGAAACTTCGTAAGTTGCACCTCACCTCACAGGAGAATTAGCCAACCATGTTTTAACTGGCACTTGTTTTTTTTATTCTAACATTCAAATTTCTGGCAGCATGGGTATTAACCTCAGAAACCTGGCATGCTAGCAGATGGGAGTGAATACACAACAGTTAATTACCTGCATGGGCCATGATAAAGTATGTATGAGGTAGGGCGAGCATGAGAAATCCCACCCATCTGATCGCTTAAGATACAATCGTAGGTCACTTTGGGTATCATCTCAAAAGGGGGTCTTACTGCCTACCAGCCCATGGCAGTTTAGGTAGCTGGTACACCAGGGGTTTGACAGAACATCAGGTCCATTTGGTTGGTGCACGTGTGGATGGCACTACAGCTCCAGACAGAGGTCTCTCTCACTTGAGATTCTGCCTCAGTGTAGTAGTGGGAAATTATACTCCAGCGGAACTGGGAAATGAGTTTTTTCTTCTCATGCCCATTTCTCTTAAGAGCCAGAGATCAAACTGAACAGCGAGGGTGACTGCCTATAAAAGGGTAACCACTGAGGAAACTGGATTCAAACAACTAAAAATGAAAGTCTGAACATTTTTAACCTTGTTCAAGTTAGATAATGGGGATCATTGTTTACCTGTGATGGAGATGTTAATATAAACCTGTTCCTATTTAGAAAGAAGAATTCAGGTTGTAAAAAAAAGAAAATGATCCAGGCACCTGCAGTCATTTATTTCATCAGTGTGATTTTAGTAAGCCTTGCAGTTAGCATAATAACCAAGTGCCAGTTCACCTTCAGTTCACCTTCAACAAGAGTCTCGGGGAGCATGTGAAGAATACAAGGAAAGGTAACCAACTATTTAAAAGCTTTTATTCTGCACATTATAAAAGTAACAGTTTTGCCAGGCAAAGTGTTCACCCAGCCAGTGCTATGTGGAAATATAAATTCAGAATGAGCTAAATAGGATCAGTAACGCCAGGGGCTCATCACGTGGGAACTGAGACTGCGCAGGTCTGGGATGAGCTCCATGTGTCTAGAAGGCAGGCTCTGTTCTCCCTTGCAGTGATGGTGGGGATGAAAGCCTCCACCTGTGTGACGTGACGCCCGGTCCCTGCCCTGCACAACCTGCTTGGCTTCGGGAAGGTGTTTCCCCTGGGCAAGTGGGAAAAATAGTTTCATCTGCTACACTTTCTTTTTTTTCTAAAAACACACTTTTGGGTCATTACATTTTCCTATCCAAAGAGTAAAAACTGACTTATTGTCACAAGGACGAAGTTTACCTTATATAACAGAAACAGAAGCCGGTGGGGGCCTTTGCAGTAACCAGAGCACCCTAGAGCTGGGCCTGAGACCAGTTGACGATGACTGTTTGAAGATGGGGCGGCCTCGCTGCTGGCCTGAGACAGGACGGAGCATCCTTGGGGGATGGACGTGCTCTGCCTTGGCAGACGGTGGCTGGGGTGTCCTTCCCTGTCAGCCTGAAGGGTGTGGAATCTGCGTCCTGCCTCTGAGAACAGCTCACTGACACCAAGACATGAATGCAGTGATCTGGTCGTAAGCAGATCTTTGAACTGTAGCATTGGGCATCTTTCTTCTAAGTGACTTTGGGTGGGTCTTCAGAAAAAATGGCAAGTTGTCCTTTAAAATGTTACGTCAGCCTAGGGTGGTGACAACTGAAAAACTGCAACAGGGAACATCACAGTAGAAAAGGGGTGAAGAGTTGATTTTCAAATGGAAGACCTTCCTGAAAGAATTCAGGTACTTTGGTCCTGCCCAGTCCTGTCACCATTTTGCTAGAACTGACACCCGTGGAATCACCACCTGCCACCCATTGCCATGTTTCTGGGGGCTCAGAGGAGGCCGCCTCAGCTTTCCCTCGCCCTCTGCCCTTTGGAACAGCAGGGGCGCACTCCTGTTCTGGTGCCACAGTAGCAGTCTCATACAGGTGGATCAGCTGCAGAGCATTTCCCTCGAGGGAGAGGCAGGTCCGGAGCCATCAGCATGTTCAGCAATTCTGCGGTGCCCGAGTCTGGGAAAGCACTAATGTCCCTCTCCTCCTGACAGTTCAGGTCCCTGACACGGATCAACAGGACTCTCCCAGCTGTTAGTAAGGCGGCACTGGGACAGGGAGATTCCTGTCTAAAGAGTGTTCCCTACCCGTGCCCACCTCCACTGTGAGGTCAAGGAGGTCTTCCTTCTCCCATTCAGAGCTGTTCAGACCCAGTTGCTCTACCTGTAGCCTCAACATACCTGGGACTGGAAGGAAACCTGTGTATTGTCCGCCTGTGATCAACCTCCTGGAACACCTCTGAGTGACAGCCGCCTCCTAAAGAGTTGACACGTGGTATTTGAAAACCAAAGCCTGGTTGCAGGAAACGAAGCAGCAGTTCTAGATGCTGAGCACCGTCTCCCCTCTGCACCCCCACCCCCCATCAGTTTTCCCCAGAAGGAGAAAGGAGAAATGTGAGATGCCCGAGGTCAGGCTGCAAAAACTGGAAAATCAAACAGATGATGCCTGGATTATACCGTGGATACACAAAATGTGGGTGAGGGACAGAGCCCATGCTAAAAGCAGCAGGAAGCCCTGTGGAGCCAGTGCGTGGGGCAGGAGTCCCCACGCCACCCGCAGCCCAGGAGGGGAGGGCGGGACCCTCGGGGGACAGTCTATACTGCCTCACCGGGGCCACCTGCCCCGAGGCTGAGTCCAGGGCGCCTTCCTGCCAACCTTCCCTGTCCTTCTCCCGACAGGTCCTGTCCTCTGAGGCCCCCTCCTCAGTGACTGCCAGACTCGCTTCCACGGACAGAACCGTGGAGCTCAAGTGCCCACTACAGGGACGTTTCGTTGGTGTGAGGTCTGGAGTTCTCCTCCTCCAGCAGAGCTATCCGTTGCTTGAGCATCCTCACTTGGGTCTCATGTCTCTCCACCATGGCCATCATCTGAGACTCCAACTTCTTCAGTTTGTTCTGATGCTTCTTCTTTGCTTTCTCATAGGCAGCCACCAGGTTGCTATGTGGGCACAGAGGGAAATGAGAATGAAGGCTTATCTTAAGTAGCACTGAGACACACACACTGGGTGACCTGGTCCAGTAAGTACCACTTGGAAAGAACAGAGGCCACTGGGCCTCCTAAATAAGAGCTTGAAATCAGGTGGTTAGTATTTCAACACTTGGGCTTTCCTGGTGGCTCCGTGGCAAAGAATCCACCTGCCAATGCAGGAGATGCAAGTTCAATCCCTGGGTTGGGAAGATCCCCTGGAGAAGGAAATGGCTGCCCACCCCAGTTTTCTTGCTTTGGAAATCCTATGGGATTTCCACAGAGGAGTCTGGTGGGCTGCAGTCTATGAGGTCGAAAAAGTCTGACACTACTTAGCAACTAAACAAGAAGGGTTGCAGCACTCATGGTCACTCACGTATTGACTTAACCACAGTTAATCTGTCATGGAAATACAAGTAGTAGGTCTGTTGCTGTTCCAAGGCTGCTTACAGTCCGTTGCAACACTGTGATCTTAAGTCACCTCCATAGCATGCGGACAGACAGGCCCCAGCAGCTGTCCTTGATGCTGTGGCTGATGGACTCAGAGCTCACAGGCCGTGAACTAATGCTGCCAGCCAAACCCAGGTCTCTGGGGGATGAGGGCGGGGGCTGAGCCCAGAGCTAGGTAAGTCTCCATACCCTGTGCTATGCTTAGCCGTGTCTGACTCTCTGCCACCCCAGGGACCCACCCTCCCCTGTCCTTGTGGGGATTCTCCAGGCAAGAACGCTGGAATGGGTAGCAGTTCCCTTCTTCAGGGGATCTTCCCGACCCCAGGAATTGAACCTGGATCTCCTGCATTGCAGGCGGAGTCTTGACCAGCTGAGATATCAGAGAAGCCCCACACCCTCACCCCACACCCTCTCTGGTCCAAACAACACTCCCACCTCCCTTCTATATAGTGTCAGGTTCTCAAAGCCCAGGACTCCCAAAGCCTTCTGAAGGGAAATGTGAGGTCCTTTATTTCTGTGTGAAGCTGGGTTTTCTTAGAATGTTTCAAAACAACACACTGCCTGTGGAAGCAGATGGGAGAATCCAGCTGTCTTCTATTAAAGCAGACATTAAAAACATTTGCAAAATTGTGAAAACAGTGCCCCTCTTCTAATTACTTTTTGGAAAACTAATTTTTAAAATAAATGTCATTTGTGTTACATGTCATGAGTTGGGTTTTTTTCTTTTTTTTTTTTTGGTAAATGAATAAAACCTTAAAAATCTCATTTGAGAAACTAATAGACAAGTTTTATTGATAATTTGAAAGAACAAAACTTTGAGGTCCTCTTTTTTTTTTTTTAGTGTGAAGGTGTCATGTCCCATCTTAGAGCATTGCTTCCTGAAGTACCCAACCTGATTCTTGAATGCTGCTCAAATAAAACGTGTAGCCAGTTTTGTTTGGAAAGTGCTGGATTAAAACTACGCTGACTTTTGTTTTTAATTGTATGACTTCTCAGAACCTCTCCTATTTGAAGTGCTAAGAGGGGACCATGGTTGGCTACATCTGCCCTCTTTAAAGAGCATTCCTCAGGTTTCTGTGGAACATGGGGAAATGAAGCCCTAGGGAGGAGTGCGCTCCAGGGAGGCGGCTGAGGACATACCATAGTCCACAGTCAGTTCCTGGCAATTATGGTGCGTAAATCCAAGAACCACTTGGATTATAGACAGTGAGGTTGTACCTGTTGGCTCGCTTCAGGTCATTAACAAACTCTGCTGATTGCTGGTGTCGGATTTCACTGCTCTTTGTGAGTCTTTCCAAGGCACTCACCAACTCTTGAACTCTGGCCTTTAACTTCTTCTCTCTGTATCAAGGAGAGATGAAGCACACGCCATTTAGTAACGGAGACGATGGATCGGCTGCTGCCCTGACGGGGGGCAGAGTGGAGCACGACTTAGGCGGCCAAGTCCAGAGGCCGGAGTCCTGAGCAAAGGGGAGAGGGCCCGGACCCCAGCACCTGGCTGCCGTGTTCCTGAAGGCCCGCTGGGTCGGCTCTTTTTAACGGTAGAGACCTTGAGAGATCTGTGTGTCGCCGAGGAACAGTACAGGAAGCTGTTTCTCCTCTTCCAGGCCAGGGAGACGAGCTCCTGGAGGAGTTCCTCCAGGCAGACCCAGGCCAGCGGGCCAGCAGAGCGCAGCCTGCCCGCAGAACCCGGGCCTGGGCTCAGGCCCTTTCCCATGCTGCTCAGCATCTCCGGAACCACTGGGGGCTCGAGAGCACACACCGGGTCTGGGCGCTACCTGGGCCAGGTCCCCACTCAGTGAAACCAAGACGAGTCTACCTTGCAAAATAGAAAAGTGGTTCTCTGTGAAAGTCCTTGATCACATTTCCCACACTTAAAAAGGGTGGAGGTTATACTTGCACTTTCGTTCGACTCCCCTACTCCGTGGCTTCAAGTCTGGTGGGTCTTTACTACTGCAGTGACCCGAGCTGACTGACTTGGGAGGTTTGGGGTGTCCTGTCTGCTTACTGCCTATGAGAGGAGGACACGGGCGGGGGCCGGGGCTGGCCACCGTCCTCCCGAGGCCCCCGCCTGGCACAGTGTCACTCTGTGCAGCACGCCTGGCACAGGCCAGCACCGCCTGCGTGATTGGTTCAGCAAGCTCCCCACTGGCACATAGGCTCCAGGCTGGCAAGGACCTTATTTGGCTTGTTGCGCAGTGTATCCCCAGCGCCATGCCCGAGAGACAGTTTCACAGCGGCAGCAGTGAAAAGAAATCATTGAAGGTATGTGGTACCTTGGAGCATATCAGGTAACCAGGGTTTATGGAAGACATTCCTCTAAGAAAAACTCATGGGTGTGTGAGGAATGTAGATGAGCACAATGTCTGGAAGGCAGTCGGGCAGCATCTAGCAAAATAAAAAATGAACATATCCCTTGACTAAGCAACTTCTAGGGATCTTAGAGAAACATGAGGTTACAGTTGGATTCACTGCAGCACTGCTTAGAACAGCTAAGAATGGGAAACAACCAGAGAGCTGGTTACGTTACGATCTGCTTTCAGTTCTGTTGAAATGCTCTGCAGTTAATAAAAGATGCAGGCTGACGTGCCCTGGAATGGAAAGGTATCTGATACACTGTCAAGTGAAAAGGGTGAGTTCTATTGGATGCCACAAGTTTGCAGAAACGTGAATATCTTGATACACTGTGATGGATGAATAAAAGGCTAAATGCTCAACAGTGCTGAACTCCTGCAAAGAGGGCACGGGACGCTTTCATTTTCTACTCATTTCAAGTTGTTTGAAATGTTCCCAATTCTGGATGCTTTTGTAAAGTGTAGGATGGGTGTGTGTGGGTCACCTCGAGGGGGTGGACTGTCAGGAGCTCTGGGGTTCAGCCATGATTCACCCCTCCTGGCTTTTCAAATATCTGATCTTTGACATGTCTGCCCCCAGCTACTGTAAGTGCAATTGCAGCTTCCCAAATTCATTAATGAAGAAAGGTGTTGCAACACAAAAATGCAGGCCTACTTTCATGAGGATGGTGGAAGAAAGATACTTGAAAAAGAGCGTCACACCCAATGACTTCCTCCCACCCTAAAGAGAGCAGGAGCCTCCTGCGGAGCCTCCTTCAGAGCCTCCCGGTTAGTGCCTCCTGTTTGCTGAGGCTTCTGGGTCCTGGCAGCCACCAGGAATTCCTCAGATCTGGCTGCAGTTCCCACTGGGATCCTAGAGTGGCACCGTCTCCCACTAGGATGAGACTGGCATCTGGGGAGGGCAGCTCCTGCCTCCCTGCCCAAACCACCGCCTCAGACTTGCAGGGCCCTCTGTCAGCCCAGGGAAAGTTAGGAGAGCATGGAAGATCTGTCCCCTCGGCCCTCTGACTATAAAGAGAGAAGAATTATTTTTACATTTTGTTACTGTTTTGATTCTTTTATTCTAGAGTTGATTGATAGTGCAAAAGGGAAGAAAATTATGAAGAGAATTTAACATTTAACCATGAATTCAAATTGCTAACATAAAACTGCCTGGAGCAGTACCGCCCCCACCACGGGTCACATGGCGCATCTGCCCAGCTCCGGAAAAGTGAGGATCTCCCAGCCCCCACACTGCAAAGGGCTTCCTGCCCTGGGGCCTGAGGCCAGCGCCCATGAGGACAGGACCCAGGGAAGCAACAGAAGCCTTCACAGACCCTCCCCAACCCTGGGGAGTAGGGGAGACATTCAAGGCTGGGGGTAGGAAGCCACATCTGGAAGCTGAGAGCTGTTCACTGAACTGCTCAGGCCTCAGGAAGGCAGACAGGAGTGAACTGCTGTTCAAACTCTAGAACTGTGATGCTGATTTACTTAAAGACACAAAGACAGGCTGAAACTCAAACCTAAAACACTAATTAGTTTCTACTTGTTCTGTTTGAATGAGGCAGCCGCCTCCAGTAACAGCCATGCCTCCAGGGTTGCTTGTCTGGATTGAAACACTAAACCCTGCACGGTAACAATTCCAGAGTCGCCTTACATCAGCCTCCAAGGATCAGGAGCCCTTTGAGTCCTTGAGACATGGCCAGTCTGAGCTGAGATGTGCTGTAAGTGTGCAGTACCCACTGGGGCTTTCCTGGTGGCTAAGTGGCAAAGAATCCACCTGCCAGTGCAGAGGACACAGGTTCAATCCCTGATATGCCTCGGAGCAAATAGGCCCACCTGCCGCAACTCCGGAGCGTGTGCTCTAGAGCCCACTAGAGGTCAGCCACGAAGCTCCGCTCCTGAAGCGCACACGCCCTCGACCCTGTGCTCCACAGTAAGAGAAGCCTGCACACGGCAACTAGAGAAAGCCCACACGAAGACCCAGTGCAGCCAAGAATAGGCTCAATATAAAAAAGAATGTAAGATAACTAAAAATACTGAATATACGCTAAAAGGATAATATCGATATTCTAGATAGAATTGGGCTGAATATGTCAATGTCCCTGCTTTTAACAGTCCTCAGCTACTAGAAAACGCAGATCACACACATGATGTGGACAGGACTGCTCTAAGCCTGCATCTGTACTGACAGTGCTGGGGGTGGCCCTGGATTCTGGTCAGTAGATTTGGGTTGAGACCCAGGAATTAGTTTTAAGAAGTGCTCCATGTGATCAAAACAGCATGGTATTGGCATAAAAATAGACATGTGATCAATGGAATAGAATAGAGAGCTCAGAAATAAACCCATGCATATATGGTCAATTTATGACAAAGGAACCAAAAATACCCAACAGGGAAAGGACAGTTTCTTAGATAAATGGTCACAGGAGAACTAGATACCTACATGCAAGAGAAAGAACCTGGATCACTGTCTTACACCGTAGAAAACAAAGTAACTCAAGTGTTAGGTTAATGGGTGAGGCCGGAAGCCATCAGACTCCTAGAAGAGAACATAAGCACCTTGACACCAATCCTGGTGATGGCTTTTTGAATCTGACACCAAAAGCAAAGGCAACAATAGCAAAAATAGAGAAATGGGGCTATACTGGATTCTTCTGTACATCAAAGGAGACCGACAAAATGAAAAGAACCTACTGAATGGGAGAAAATGGTTACAAATCATGTCTTATCTAATAAGGGGTTAGTACCCATAATACTGGAGAAGGGAATGGCAACGCACCCCAGTATTCTTGCCTGGAGAACCCCATGGACAGAGGAGCCTGGCGGGCTGCAGTGCACGGGGTCGCAGAGTTGGACACGACGAGGGACAGCACTAACACGAGCACCCATGATGCTCCCCTGGTGCTCAGACGGTGAAGCGTCCGCCTGCAGTGCAGGAGACCCGGGCTCAATCCCTGAGTCGGCAAAGTCTCCTGGAGGAGGAAATGGCAGCCTGCTCCAGTGCTCTTGCCTGGAAAATCCAATGGTGAAGCCTGGTAGGCTACAGTCCATGGGGTCGAAAGAGTCAGACACCACTTCACTTTCACTTTCACCCATAATACACAAAGAACACATACAACTCAACAGCAAAAATAAAAAAAACACACCACCACCAGCTTAAAAAGTGAGCAGAACCTGGGGTTTGAATGGAAGAGAAAATAAAATACAAGAAATAAGCATAAGGTCTGAATGGGCATTTTCTCAAAGACATACAGATGGCGAACAGGCATGTGAAAAGATGCTCAACATCACTGATCATCAGGGAAATGCAAATCGAAACCACAATGAGATACCACCTCACACTGGTCAGAATGGTTATTATTAAAAAAAATAGAAGGACAAGAAGTAACAAGTTTCGGTAAGGATACAGAGAAGAGGGAAGCCCTGTGTACTGCTGGTGGGAATGCAAACTGGTGCGGCCACTAAAGAACAGATTGGAGATTTCTCAGAAGTTAAAACTAGCATGATCCCGCAATTCCACCTCTGGGTATGTACTCAGAGAAAACAGAATCGCCATCTTGGAAAGAGACCTGCACCCTCATGTCACCACAGCATTATTTACAATAGCCAAGATACGAGTACAACCTATGTGCCCATCAGTGGATAAGCAGATAAGGATGTGGTATGCATCAAAAATGCAGTATTACTTGGCCACAAAAAAGTGAAACTTTGCCATCTGCAGCAACATGGATGGACCTTGAGGGTATTATACTATGTAGAAATAAGAGAAAGACTAATACTGTATGATCTCATGTGTATGTGGAATCTAAAAAACCAAAACCAAAAACAAAAACCACAAGCTCACAGATTCGGAGAACAGACTGGTGGTTGCCAGAAGTGAGAGTTGGAGGTGGGCGAAATGGGTGAAGGGGATTAAAGGGCACACACTGCCAGTTGTAAAATAAGTCCTGAAGGTGTAGTGTATAATATGGTGATTAAACTTATTATTACTGTATTGTGTATTTG